TTTTTTTTTTCTTAATGCACTAGTAATTTAATCACATCTTCTAAATCCTGTTAAAAGTAAATAAAATTTAACATCAATATCACTAAAATTGATTAGAAGCATTCATTATCAAAATTTAAAATTTTTAAACCAAATATTCAATAATAGTAGAATATCAAAACCAGATTTATTATATTATTTTAAGACTTTTAGGATAATACTTTTTTAAAACTTAATTAGGAGAATCATAACATTATTTTAGGAACAAATTAGAAATTCAAGATTCTAAGAGTAAATGCGCAAACTAATTTTCAGGAGATAGAGTTACAAGTGAATTAAAAATTTAGAATTAAAGTTAGGGCGTATGATTAAAATGGAAAAAAAACTTAAGGAATATGGAAATGTTTTATTTTTATTTTTTAATTAAATTAATGAAGTTATTATCTTATAAAATAAAAAAAGAAAAGAAATTTTAAAATACTACAAAAAATTATATTATATTATTTAATTAAATTATCTTGTAATCAAATTTTATTTTGTAATCAGGTAGTTCGGGTGATTTGAAGATAAAACTACAAATCAAACCAGTTATATCGGTATTAAAATTTTACAATTTAAACCAATCCAATTTTATATTGGTTTGGATTGATTTTTGATTGGATTAAATCAATTTAGGTCGAATCAATCGAATTGAATCGGCTATAAACACCCGTAGTTAATAGAGTGGAACTACCAAACAGAAAAGTACATTGGAATGAATTTGTAAATTCAGGAACCCAATTGCCAAGAATGAGATGTTAGGGACCAAATTGGACCATTTGAAAGGTAGGTAATAAAATGCAATTATTAGATCACATGATAAAATTCAAGTTGAACTAGTTCACGGGGCCATAAAGCAAAAACAAAAACAAAAAGCTTGAGCAGCTAAGGGGCCTGAAAATTTGAGTACCATAATCAAATCTCCAGACTCGAAGAAAAATGATAATTAGAAAACAAAATCAATTATTCAAACAAAAGCATGGGCTTAATCATAACAAATCAACATTGGATGTAGCAAATAGCAACTACAGCCAACAGTTCAGAAGGAAAAACAGAGAATACATGATATATCAACTATGACAGAGTAGCCATGCCACCTAGAAGCAGTGTTATTGAACGCGCTGGGTACCTCTAGGTGGCAGGCCTCCACTTAGAACCTAGGCCACGTCTAGATTGCCTTGGCGATTTGTGCACCACCTTTTTTCTTTAAAAAATAAATCCAAAAAATTCAGAAAAATTGGGGGAAAAAATCATTTTAAAGTTTGAAATCAATTAACCAACAAAACTTAATAGGAGTCTAAAATCATTTAATTAAAGGGAGGAAGAACAAGAATTGAAGTTGTAGAAAACCCTAAATGATTGGTATTTAGGGTTTTTTCCTTTTTGTTGGCCTCTGAAAACCAATCCTATTATTTATACTTTATTTGTTAAAAAAAATTGAAAAACAAAATAGTATGGTTTAATTT